CGGGGCTACGGGCCTGGGCCGCTCAGGGGCGGAGGCTCCGGGGGACCCTGCGCGGACATCTCAGCCCTGCCTGAGGCCGCCTGGATGCGCAGGTCGGGACCCCTGCGTGGGGTGCCTCTGCCTGTCTCTGGATCTTCCAGTGTTTGGGTCACGCTCTCTCCCGCCTCCTCCGGGGCGCGCCCTGGGCGGGGACCCCGTGGAGCAGGAAGGAACGCGGGACTCCGGCCGCCCCTGCCGCGCTAAGTAGAAACAGACGGGGAAAACTTGCGCCTGGGGCGCGATCCCGGGCGCACTCCCGTTCCCAGCGCCACTTTCCTGCTCTGCGCCCCGAGACCCACCCATGGGAGGGGCAGGAGGAAGTGAGAACTCCCCCGCCCGGGCCACCGGGAGGGCGCCCTGCAGGCCGCACCCGGTAACTGGCGCAGAGGTCAGAGGGCTCGACCCCGCAGCAGGGCCCTCCTGACCTTCCAGCCCCTTCCCCTCCAGCCCCACCCGACCCTCAGAACCCTGGCCGGGGGCTCGCAGCCCCTCCCATTTAGTCGGCTGGATTGGTGGAGGAAGCTGGAGATGCAGCTACAGACTGACAGGGCCCAAGGGCCATCTGAGACTTCGGGTGGGCCACCAAGTGTGGCAGAGTGAGGCCCTAGGCAGAGGTGGCTGGAGCAGGTGGGTGCGTGAGTGGGCAGGTGTGCCCTGTGTCCCCATAGCGGTGTCTCATGGGGGGCCTGTCTGTATCTCTGCAGCCGAGCGGGTGACGTCCCTGGGGAAGGACTGGCATCGGCCTTGCCTGAAGTGTGAGAAGTGTGGAAAGACACTGACCTCGGGGGGCCATGCCGAGGTAGGCGGGGCCACAGGGGCAGCAGGTGTGTGGGGTTCGGTGGGGCCAGCCCCTAACGGACCCTTTCTCTGCAGCACGAAGGCAAACCCTATTGCAACCACCCCTGCTACTCCGCCATGTTCGGGCCCAAAGGTATGCTCTCTGGCCCGACCTAGCTCTCAACGGCCCGACCCAGCTCCCCATGGCCCGACCCAGCTCCTCAGGGCCCAACCCAGCCCCCCACGGCCCGACCCAGCCCCCTACGGCCCAACCTAGCCCCCACAGCTCCTGACCTGCCCCCTACTTTCTCTGCAGGCTTTGGGCGGGGTGGAGCTGAGAGTCACACTTTCAAGTAAATCCAGGTACACCCCCATCCCGCCCCCCTCCCAGATGGCCCTCAGGATGGGCCCCCAGTCCTGAGTGAGGCTTGCACTCACCAGAGTCCCCGTCTCTCTTGCAGGCTGTGGTGACCCCACCCCTGGACTTCCGCCAGACCACTGTCCCTCCGGGCTGATGATTGCTGGCCTTAACCCTGGGTACCTGGGGCTCCCCTGTTATCCAGCACCCTCAATAAACCCAGTGCTGGGAAGACCTGCCTGTGTGTGCCTGTTGCTGGGGATTGTGGGGGAGCTGCAGTGGAGGTCCTGATGCTACACCCCGCGTGGCACTTGCCCTGCCTGCTGCGGCCCAGAGTGGAGGGGCCTCTCCTGGGGGCCCAGCGCAGGCTGCAGCACCCCCCGCACAGCAAGTGGCCTGGCTGCCCTGGATGGCCCCACGGAGGCTCAGCTCGGCAGCTCCAGACTCACGGGTGTCCCAAGCCCACTGGGCAAGGGGAGGTCTGATGGGTCAGTGGGAGTGCAGGGCACGGCAGGGCAGCGCCCCGAGACCCAGCTGTGCGGTGGTTAGCTGAGCTCAGCTGGTTCCGTTTTTGGGCTTTGGGGGCGTTGTGGTAGGGAGTCCTTGCCGGTCCTCCCCACTTCCTGCTGCCCCAACGATCCCCATCCCCCCACATCCCACTAGACCCGGCCGGCCGTGCTTCCGCAGGGGCGTCCATCTGGACACCATCGCCCCTTGTTTGTCCCCACCCTGTGCCCAGGGACTACCAAGTGGCCGGTTGCCCAAAAAGGGGCATTTGAGGACTGGCTGTGAAGCGATGGCTGGGAGCTTTCTGGAAACTTCTGTGTCAATTCAAGCAGCAGCTGCAGACTCACTGGCCCCCCTCAGAGCCCTCCCCATTCACCCCCCCATCCCACCCCTAGCACCCTGCCCAGGTGGACACGGCCCCTCCCAGGTCTCTGCTGACCTGAGGAGCCCAGACAGGTCATCGTAGCTTAGCACGTGGCCTCGGCCCTGGCCCAGGCCTTTGGTGGCTGCACTGCAGGCCTGAGCTGGACGGGCTGTGGGGGCTGAAAGGCAGTGTGCGGTGTTGGGAGCGTGTGGGTGTGTGAGAGAGAGATTGAGTGATTCATGGAATTCCATGAGCTGGGAGCTGGCATGCTTCTTGGTGACAGATGGGTTGGAGTGGGGAGGAGGGAGCAGAGGCTGCTAAGCGAAGGCCGGGTCCCTCAGCGGACAGTAATGGGGTAGAGACCGGGACCCACCGAGTGGGCAGTGGATGCACAGAAAACCTGCCCTGCCCTCTCCCCGCACCCACTCCCCATTCCGCCCCCCCCCAGCTCATAGTCCAGGTGGGGGCCACTCGAGGTGAGTGCTTAGAGAGCCGATGCCTGCAGGATGAGTGTGTCGGCCGGGCCTCAGGTGGGCTGAGAAACATGGTCTCTACTCTGAAGGCTGCATGGAGGGTGGCAGGGAGGCCTCTGCGCTGGTCCTAGCCCGAGCCAAAAGCGAACCCTGGAGGGGATGGGTGAGGGCCGGGGGAGCAGGCAGCAATGGTGCCCGGGGGTGAGTGAGCAGGCCAGCAGGTGGCCACTGCAGTGCAGTGGAGGGTGCAGACGAGAAATGGCTGTTCCAGGTGAGGGTGCTGGGGTGGACGACCCAGGGGCACTGTGGGGGAGCCGGGGCGGAGGAGGTTGGTCATGGGGGGACATGGGTGAGGAGCTGGCTGAGCCTGAGAGGAGGCGAGCAGCAAAGGTGAGAACTGAGAAGGACGTGGGCCCCTGATCCGACCGTGCTCGGCGGCCGGGCCGGGCCGGGCCGAGGTGGGGAGGGCTGGGGTCCTGGGGTCCCGGACAGATTTCTTGCTCCTTCCCTCTCCTCTCCCCTCTCTGTCTTCTTGACAGCTTCAAGGCACAGTTTACATACCACAAAATTCACTCGAGCACTTTCCACGCTGTCACCAATTCACAGACTCTGCAGTGGTCACGATCCAGTTCCAGACTCATGACCCACAAAAGTTCCCTCATGCCTAGCTGCTGTCACTGTCCAGTCCTGGACCCTTCCCAGGCCACTGCTACCTGCTTTCTGTCCCTACACATTTGCTTCTCTGGACGTCTCACAGCCACAGCATACAGAGCAGTTGTCAGCGGTGCGGCGGTCGCTGGCCGTCACCCCATTGGGTGGGCTTACTGCACAGCTGGCAGCCCTCGCATCCTTTCGTTTGGGGCTGTTCTGAGCAAGGCTGCTCTGCACTTCCGTGTCTGCGAGCACAGCTCTCACAGGTTCCGGGGCTGGCACTGTTGGGCGTAGGGTAAGCGTGTGTCTAACTCTGAAACGACCGCCGAGCTGCTCTCCAAATGTTCCTTCAGAGACTGTCTTCAGTGGCGGGAAGGAGAGGCTAAGGGTGCAGGGCAGAGGGAGGCTGGCGAAGGCTGGCCAGACAGAGGATGGGCGGGAGAGGCTGGGCCGTGTGTCTGCAGATGTAGGTTACGGTGGAGTCACCGGCCTTCCGGGAGGTGCTACGCGCCCGCGTGCGGAAGGGTCGAGCTGTGGGGGTGAGAGGGAGTCCGGGCGCCCCCTGGTGGCCGGGCCAGAAAGGGCTTCGCGGAAGAGGAGGGTCTCCCCTGGGGTCCGTGGGCCGGCGCGGCGCGGCTCTCCAGATCTCTGGAGCTCCCCGAGCCCGGCCGCAGATTCTCCCGCGCTTGCTAGGCTGCCATTTGGTGCAAGGGGTAAGGCGCTATTTGATGGGGTCTGAACCAGCGGTGTTCGGTGTCGCCGCAGAGAGCGGTCAGATTGGGCCGTAGATTGCTGACCCCGCGGAGCTGTCAACGCCGATTGGTCCCCGCTAGACCGGAAGTGCCTCTACGACGGACACAGCAGGCCCAGCCCGCGCGGGGATTGGGTGCAGGCGCCGCAGAGGCGGCACCGGCGCGGTGATTGGAC